TTCCTGCTAAGTATTGCTTTAGCTATTCTGGGTCTCTTATTCAAATGAATTACCTGATTACCTTTTCTTTTTTAAATAAGGAATGATATTGGTATTTTAATTGGAATTGCATTGAATCTGTTTAACACTGTTGGTAGTATGGCCATGTTGACGATATTAATTCTGCCTATCCAGGAGCATGGGAGTTTTTTCCATCTTCTAAGGTCTTCTTAAGTTTCTTTTTTAGTGTTCTGTTGTTTTCATTGCAGAGTCTCTCCTCTGTTGTTAAGTTGATTCCCAAGTATTTTATTTTATTTGTTTTGAGGCTATTGTGAATGGGGTAGTTTTTCTAATTTCTCTTTCAGAGATTCATCACTGATGTACAGAAATATATTTGATTTATGGATATTGATTTTGTATCTGCTACCTTACTGAATTCATTCATTAATTCTAGAAGTTTTCTGGTAGAGTTTTTTGGATCCTCTATGTATAGAGTCATGTCATCAGCAAATAATGATAGTTTGAGTTCTTCTTTTCCTATCCATATCCCTTTAATTTCCTTCACCTCTCTGATTTTTCTGGCTAGGGTTTCAAGGACTATGTTGAATAGAAGTGGTGAAAGAGGGCATCCTGTCTTGTTCCTGTTTTTAGTGGGAATGCCTCCAATTTTTCTCCTTTTAGAATGATGTTGGCCTGGGGCTTAGCATAGATAAAATTTTTTACAATGTTGAGGTATGTTCCTACTATCCCTAGTTTTTCTAGTATTTTGAACATGAAAGGGTGCTGTATTTTGTCAAATGCTTTTTCTTCATCAATTGGTATAGTCATATGATTCTTATCATTAGGTCTAGTGATGTGATGAATTATACTTATTGGTTTCCTTATGTTGAACCAACCTTGCATCCCTGGACTGAGCCCTACTTGATCATGGTACACTATTTTTTAAAAAATGCTTTTGTATGTGACTTTCCAGAATTTTATTGATAATTTTTGCATTGATGTTCATCAGGGATATAAGTCTGAAATTTTCTTTTCTTTATGTGTCTTTGCCTGGTTTTGGTACCAGGATGATATTAGCCTCATAGAATGAGTTTGGAAGGGTTCCTTCCTATTCTATTTCATGCGGTAATTTGAGGAGTATTGGTATTAATTCTTCTTTGTGGGTTTTGTAGAACTCAGCTATGAATCTATCTGGTACTGGACTTTTCTTGGTTGGAAGGGTGTTGATGGTGTCTTTTGTTTCCTTGCTTGAAATTCATCTGTTTAAATTGTGTATGTTCTCTTGACTCAGTTTGGGTTTATCATATACCTCTAGAAATTTCTCAGTGTCTTTTAGGTTTTCTGTTTTACTAGAGTGTACATTTTCAAAATAGTTTCTAATTGTCTTCTGTATTTCAATAGTGTCTGTTATGATATTTCCTTTTTCATCACCAATTTTAGTAATTTAAGTTTTCTCCTTCCTTCTTTTTGTTAGAGTGGCTAAGGGTTTGTCAACTTTATTTTTTTTCAAAGAACCAGTTTTTTGTTTTGTCAACTTTTTGAATTGTTTCTTTAGTTTCAATTTTATTGATTTCTGCCCTGATTTTAATTATTTCCTTTCTTCTACAACTTTTGGTTTGTTCTTCTTTTTCTAGGGCTTTGAGCTATAATGTCAGGTCATTTATTTGTTCACTTTTTCTTCTTTTAATGAATAACCTCCATGTAATGAGCTTTCCTCTTACTACTGCCTTCATAGTGTCCCAGATAGTTTGATAAGTTGTATCAGAGTTCTTATTTAACTCTAAGAATTTATATCCCCCCTGATGTCTTCTGTTATCCATGCATCTTTCATTAGCATATTGTTTAGTCTTCACGTGTTGGAGTAGCTTCTCTTTAATTTTAATCATTGAATTCTAATTTCATTTCTTTATGGTCTGATAGAATGCAGGGTAGTATCTCCTTTTTTTTTGTATTTGCTAAGATTTGCTTTGTGGCATAACATATAGTGTAATTTGGAGGAGGATCCATGTGCTGCTGAGAAGAAAGTGTATTTGCTCATTGATGGATGGAATATTCTATGTATGTCTGTTAAGTCCAAATTATTGATTGTATTATTGAGTTCCATAGTTTCTTTGTTTAGTTTTTGTTTGGAATATCTATCCAGTTGTGAAAAATGTATGGTTAAAATCACCCAGTATTATTGTGTTGTGTTCTATTTGGTTCTTGTGTTTGAGAAGGGTTTGTTGGACATATACAGATGCCCCATTTGGGGTTTATCATATACCTCTAGAAATTTTTAGGTTTTTTTAGATTTTTTAAACAATTTATATGATTGTTATGTCTTGTTGATTCCCTTAAGCAGTATGAAATGTCCTTCTTTATCCCTTTTCACTAGCTTTGGTTTGAAGTCCACTTTATCTGATATGTGGATGGAAATGCATGCTTATTTACATGTTCCATGTGAGGGGTATGTTTTTGCCCACCCTTTCACCTTCTGCCTGTGGATGTCTTTTCCTGTGAGATGAGTCTCTTGAAGGCAACAAATAGTTGAATCATTTTTTAATCCAATCTATCAATCTTTTTCTTCTAATTGATGAGTTTAGGCTATTCACCTTTAGGGTTATTATTGAAATGTTATTTGTATTCCTGGACATTTTGGTTTAATTTTGTTTTTTTAACTTGACTTGGTTTCTCCTTTGATTGACCTTTCCTTTAGTAGAGTTCTTCCCTTTATTGATTTTCATTTTCTCCTCCTGAAATATTTTGCTGAGGATGCTCTGTAGTTTGGGCTTTCTCAGTGTAAATTCTTTAACTTTTGTTTGTTATGAAAGGCTTTCATCCTCAAATGTAAAGCTTAATTTTGCTGGATGTAAGATTCTTGTTATGTCATTGTTGCCTGTATTTGTTCTCTCATCTCTTTGTTAGAGTGATCAATTTCTACCTATATTTGCTCATTTAGGTCATTCTTTAATTCACAGATCATTTTAATCATGTATGTTCTGAACTCTTTCTCTGACATTTCATTAACTGCACTGTCCATGGATTCTGTTATTTTTTCATGTTGTCTATGTGTCTTCCTTTTTTGCAGTGCAGATCTGAGGTATTACAGTTCCTACCCTATAATATTATAGTATCTGTGCAGATTATCTGTACCTCATCTTGGTGTTGGGCTTCCAGACCCTGCCAGTGACTCTGGATGGATGCTACTGGAATTATAGGTGGTAGCAGCAATTGTGGAGGTAAATCAGGATAGCAGTGGGGGTGTCCCAAGATGGATGCAACCTCTTTCAGAAATGAGGCTGAAAGGGTGGGCCTTACAGTGGCTTGGGCTGCCTGTTCTGAGATGCTGCTGCTTTTAGACCCTATCTGTTGCCACAAGGTGAAGACTACTGCGTGGGGAGGGCTATGGCAGTGGCTGCAGTGTCCCAAGGTGGAGGCAGGTTAGGCCTAGGCTCCCATGTGCTCCTGTGCAGGTACGAGGGGCAGTCCTGGGCCAGGGACTGAGCTCTGGCATGGGTCTGCTGGTCAGCAGGGGTGTACTGGGCCTAGCCTGGGCCTGGGTTCCCATGCAAGTTGGTGGAGGCAGTCCTCAATATCTTTTAATTTAGAATGGCAGTTTAATATTTTTCTCAAAAAGTTTGTAGGAATTACTCCATAATTTAACAGTACTTTCCCTATTTAAGTATTGTGTGTCTAATGTTGCTTTTTCTCACTTTTATTCAATTTTCATCTTTGTTTTTATCAGTACTGTTCTAGATTTAGCAGTATTAGCAACTACTGATGTGAAATTTCACAGGAATTTAGGAAGCCACTGTTCTCCTAGTTCTTAGTGGTGTACATAATTGTAGAACTCAAGCTACATCGAGTGTTTGAATCTGTTAGTGTTTCCCATCAGTTTTCAGGGCAGAAGAGTGGTTTTATGAACCTCAGAATCCACTTAATAATGCAAAGAAGGATGTTATTCTAAGATAGTGTGACTTAATGGATATTATTTCCTAAACCCTTATATAGCTGAAAATATTTTTCTTCAAACATGGATATTTATTTTATATTTATTATATAAAATATATATTATATATTTAGTTTATTTTCTGGAGGGCCTCATATTTTTTTGAGTAGATCTATGCATTTTATTATTTAGCTTAGTGAATATCAAACTTTAGCATAAAAAATAATCACTTAAAGGAACAGATGATTGCTGGTGCTTCTTCCAGAATTTCTGATTCAGTATGTTGGGGTGGGGCCTGAGGTTTTGCTTTAATAAGTAGCATGCTTGTGTGGTGCTGCTACTATTGGTTGTGGAGCCACTATTTTTGAACCACTGATGTAGAGTCAATATTGAAGCAGAGACAGTATAGACTAGTCTATATTGATTCATTGTGAATAACATTTTTCCTCTATCCAAATGCTTGTAGAAATATTTTTCTTTTAATAGTGCAATTCAAAACTTTTACCCAGACGTGAAAGTGTGGGGATAGGGGGTAAAAGATCTAATAATTTCACATTAAATTTTTAAGGAATAAGTATATTTTAATCTGTGTAATTTTTTTCATATATTTTTAAAGCTCCCAAACCAGTTCTTTGTATTTTGCATAAAAAACAAAAGTGGCAGTAAGATATTTTCATCTTGATATTTTAGTTCCCTTAGCAAGAAAAAATTGTATTGATAGTATTGAAAGGTAATGCTTTCAATTATTTAACTTGTTGTTCTATGAAGAGAAATATATGCCCTTTGGCATATATTTTTATTCCTCACCTATATTAAGAAAATATATGAAATGACTCATATGGATTTTTTGGGGGCCTCTTAATATAGTTCTGTAAGGGTGTAGAATTACTTTTTATTCTTGAAGTAAGTTGTATATACAAAATTGACTGAAACACTGTCTCTGAATTTAAAATTATGATTTTGAAAGATAGATTTATGTCCTATTTTAGTAATTATTATACTTTTGTGATTGAAAATAATAAGATATAATTAAATATTATACATTGTGAAGGATTTTATTTTAAAATATATTCTTTAAATTTTTATTTTCCAGATTTTGGAATCTCTTTTTAAGGTATGATAAATGTATTGAAGCTTACATACTAAAACTTAATAGAGAAATATATCTAAATGAAAAAGTTTTCTAAGTCTTGTGGAAGTTAAAGGACTTTCAAACTTGCTGCTATATTTAAAACTTTATTTTCAGTTGTATGTTGCATTGGGCCCTTTTATGAACCCTAAGAACTGATGCTTGCCAGATGAAAGTTCACAGGCATACATGTATATGTACATTAATTTTACTGAAGAAATTCAACTTGTCATTAATTCTTTCTTCTTTGCTTCTTTATGTTTTGCTTGTAAAGTGGTTTCAGCTACAGGTCAATCAAATGGAGGAGGCAAGTATGACATTTTTTTTTCCTTTTTTTTAGTTGTAGATGGACACAGTGCTTTTATTTGTTTACTTATTTTTTTATGTGGTGCTGAGAACTAAAAACAGTGCCTCACACGTGCTAGGCAAGCACTGTACCACCAAGCCACAACCCCAGCTCCATAACATTTCTTAATTGTTAATTAAATCAATATTTTGACTCATTTGAAAAATCAATTAGAGGTATGTTTAAAGTTTGGGTCATAAAGTTATCATTTGATTTTGATATAAGAGGAATTAGTGGGTAGAAAAATATTTTTTAGTGATTTATACCCTATATTCCTGCATTTATCTACTATATTCAAAATTTAATACATTTTGTTTCCTAAAATTGAATAAGGGAAATTGAACTATTTTTCTTTTCCTAATTTACAGAAAGTAGTAAAATGATAAGGTAGAATTTATCAATTTTTATTATCAATTAATTATTTTATCAATTTAAAAATTCTATATTTAAAAATCATGCATAATATATTCACAGACATACAATTATCTATTATTTTTCTCTTAAGTTTAATATATTCTTTTAATGGTATTAAATAATTTAAATAATGCTAGAGTAATTTATACTTCTGATTTTCAAGTACTTTATCAGTTTGAGAACTACTGGCCTCTGAGTTAAGGGCTTTTAATCTATTTTGGAAAAAACTTCATACATACCATTAATAACAATGATTTCCAAAGTAGCTTTTAGTGGTTTATAGAATTATTTCAGTTTTACCTTTGTCATGCTTATGGTCCACTCAAATTACTTTTGAAGCCTAAGCTCTATAAAGAAGCTGACTTATTTGGAATACAAAATTAAAGGGAAAATGAACTATAACTATTTTTTTTAGCAGAGTAGAAGACTTTCATTTTCTATACATGCTTTCTTTTAGATAGATGTGGCTGACATTGGAGAAATGTTAGAAGTTCTTTGACTATAGCATAATGATTATTATCTTTCTAGAGAAGTAAGGTTGGGTGAAGTCAACTATTCCTTTACTTGCTTGTAAAATTTCTTCTTCATAATTTAGGAACTTCAGTCTGTCTTCTGCCTTCTTATTTTTGAAACTAGAAATATTTTTTTTCTGATTTATTTATAGATTTGTATTTCTTTTTTTTTTTTTGCACTCATTCCTGTCAATGTACATGATCTATCTAAAAATCCAGTTTCTCAGTTCCTTGACTTCTGCATTTATAAAGATCAGTGTTCTTTTTTACCCTTGGACTGTATATCAAGTAACACTCTGAACTTTATCATTAATGAAATTTCGAATGCAGGTAACTTATTGTTGAACTATAGATTTCTATCTTTCTATTTACAGTTAGGCATTGCTTAATGACAAGGATATATTCTGAACAATGTGTTATCAGGAAATTGTGTCATCACAGGGTACACTTACAGAAACTAAAATAGCTATAATATCAATTCCTGTTGCCAAACAAAATATTTACATACATATACATTTTATCTTTCTGCCTATACATAGGAATAATTCTTTCACTTTTGTTTTGGATTCCATCTCCTCTTGGCCTCTTAAGGACTTTATCTCTCATATATTCAACTTTTCTCATTTATTTTTTGGTTTTTAAAACTGTTTATCTTTCTTATTTAATGTCACTTTCCCCTTGTAATTGGGGTTATATGTCTGTCTGTGGAACATATGTTACCTGTTCAGAGCCAGATTGTATATTAATTTACTATAACTATGTCCTTAATTCCCATATATTTTTCAAATTATTCAGACTGTCCCACATATGGTTCCCAGTAATTTGTATGTTGTTAAACTTAATAGACATGTTTCTTTATCTCAACCATAATTAGTATTATTGATCACTTTCTCATTTTTTGAAACAATATTCTTTTGGTTTCTGTGAATTATACTGTACTGGCTATTGTTTTACCTCTTCGACTATTTCTTTTTCAATCAACTACTTAAGCAATAAATTTTGGCATGCCTTTTTTTTTTCTCTGAACTTTCCTTAGGTAATCTCATTCAGTTTTACTTTGATGTTGGTAATTTAGAAACAACTCCAGACTTGTTTCACTTCAAATTCAGTGGATCAAAAACAAGAATTTTGTACTCATTTTCTAGTGTTTCTATCTTAGTTAATGGTAATTCATCCAGTTGAGTAAATCAGAAATGGGGTAACCATCCTTGAAACTCACTTCCTAAATATCCTAAATATTCAATCCATTCATGAGTCCTTTTGATTTTCCTTCCGAAATATGTCTGCTTGTCTTTTTATATATTGTTTGTGCCTTACTGCCAGTTAGCAACTGTTCAGTATTCTTGAAATTCAACGTAAGCATTCATAATCTCTAGGAGGAATCCTCACTATAAAAAGTATATTTCTGAACTGGAATTCAAAGTTTTTCAATGTTTAAATCTGTAGTTACTTCTCTTGAGTATTTTCTTAATTTGGTGTATCAGTTAATTGTCTAAGTTACTCTCTTCTGCCTTTCAAGGATTGTTTCTTAGTTGATGGATCATGTTTAACACAAGATACCTGTCATAAGTATATACTACTGGATTAGAATTTGTATGTGAGGAAGCTAGGCTCTCTTAAGAGATTCTCATGCTTACTAAGATTTGAAAATGTTTGAATAATATTTTTACTAATAGATTTTATTGCCCATTCATGCTGATGAGGTTAATGCCTATGACTATGATGCTTTAACAGAGGTGTTAAAGCCTTCAGAGTGTATGGTGAATTGCCATTGAAATATTGAATGAGCCCTTTCAAAGTTGTCTTACTGGAACCTATACCCATAGTTATTTTTGGTGAAGTCTTATAGTTGATAATCTCACTATTTCTTACTTTAGTTCTGGGCCATCATTCCTTCTCCAAGGAATGACTTCTATTCACATTAAGTTCATACTAGGAAATGTAATGTATCAGTTATGGCTTAATCAAGAGACAAAAACCACATACTAATTTGATTAGGCAATGCTTAATATAGAGAATTGTTATAATAGAGAAAATACCTATTAAATAGGTAAAGACAATCTAAAAGAATATAGCAATAGATATAGAGAGTATCCTCAACACCCAGGATGGAAAAAGAACACTCAAGGAAGGAACAAATCTAAATACCCCAGATCTTCTTCTCCCAACTCAGGACTAAGATTCAGACCTTTTGAAGAGGGAGTAGTTGTCATCACTGAGTGGTAGAAACTTGCTTGGGTGCCATGCTGGTAGAACTTAAACTCACTTGGAAGGTACTCATGAGGGTGGTACCCTGAAAGTTACTCTGTGGTCCTAGGAAAAGACCAGGGAGATGTTGTACCTCTTGCTGGGACATTGAGCTTAAGGGTACTGCTTTGGGGAATTTTGCTAAGGAGGTCTGGGAGAAACTGCCCAAAAGAATGTGCCATGTCATGGCTCTTCTCTGGGATCTTGCCTTTATCAGTAGGGTTTTGTAAGTTTCTGACTTCTCTTCCTCAGTTCCATAGCCTTATCAATATCTCAGACTTGCAGTATACTGCTCAGCATTTCCTGTTGCTGTATTCTAATCCCATTCTAGGTAGTCATTACCATAATGAAGAACTTGTTCTAAATACTTAATGCTAGAATTTCTCTTTGCTAGTCCTTGACTTCTTCCCTGACCAATCTCCCTCCCATCATTAGAGGTATTTACATGGATGGATCTCTGGTATTATCCTGTCAAAACTTCTTACTCTTCCCCACCCAGACCAATTCCTTTTATGCTTATGTATTGCTGTTTCTTTCACTGTTATGGTTTCAATATGAGATGTGCTTCCAAAGCTCAAATGTGAGACAATGTAAGATGTCTAAGAGGTAAATTGATTGGTTTATGAGATCTTTAACCTAATTAGTGTGTTAATCCCCTGGTAGAGATTAACTGAGTGGTAACTGAAAGCAGCTAGGGTAAGGTATTGGGGGTGTGCCTTAAGGGTATGTATCTTGTCTCTGGAGAGTGGAGTCTGTCTGTCTCCCTTTTTTTCCTCTCTCTTTTTTCTGGAACTATGTTCTGAGCTGCTTTCCTCTGCCATACTCTTCTACCATGTTCTGCCTCATGTTGGACCCCAAAGAATGGAGTTGGCTATCTATGTACTAAGACCTCTGAAACCATGAGCCCCAAAATAAACTTTTCCTTTTCTAATTGTTCTTCTCAGGTCTTTTGGTCAAGCAGCAAAAAAGCATATTAAAACATTTACTGTGGCTTTTGTATGCTCCTTTTTGCTGGACTTCCTTTGAGTAGGCCTATTGCTTAGAATACTAATAATGATGTGTCATCTTATTCTATAAATCTTATTGATTCTTTCTATTGCCTGTTGCTTTTTAGCTTGGTCTATTCCAAAAAACTTGAGACTCCCAAGGTGATCTAAGATTTTATTCGTACAGATTGATAAATGACAGTTCCATGGACACTTATATGTGAACTTCTGGGATTTGATATACAAGTCTTTGAGAGCAAATTATTGCGTTATCACAGTAGGGATACTTTTTGAAAGAATTTAGGTGAAGCAACTATTTTAGAATTACTCTTGTAAATATTTTAAGTTGTACTTACTATTATTGTGCTTGCTTCAAATTTCTGGATATAAAAAGTGTAAACAGAAGATTTGATATCAGCTTCAGTATGTAAACATCCTTATTGGGCTCTGATTCTATTGATAGATAATTGCTCATATTTTTGTTAACTATTGTATCATCATTTGACATAATAGATGTAGATAAAATCAGATTTTATAAAGCAAACTGAAATTTCTTTGAGATGTGGGAGGAAAATGGGTATTTCTTAAATAATTTGTTTATTTTTATTATTTTAGCTAAGTAGAGGTTATAGTCTTTCAGAAACAGATATTCTAGCACCTGAGAAAACAGTCTCTTTAAACATTTCAAAAGTAGTAACGCAAATGCAAAAACTTGAAGAACTGAAAAATCAGCTTACACAGATGCCTAAATACTCCTTGAAAAACATGCCATGTAAACCCAAGTAAGTGAAATATAATAATTAATTGAATTAAAAGCAATAAGAGGGTGATATGATTAGCATTTGATATCACTTTTGACATGTAAACATCCTTATTGAGATGTGGGAGGAAAATGGGTATAATCAGTCTCATAGTATTGCTATACACACAACTTCTAAATCAAATCAGAAGGCCTACTTAGTTTTTGTTTTTTAGTTGTTGATGGACCTTTATTTTATTTACTGTTATGTGGTGCTGAGGATTGAACCCAGTGCCTCACACATGCCAGGCAAGTGCTCTACCACTGTGATGCAACCCCAGCCCCCACTTAGTTTTTCTATTTAAAATTTTTATTAGTCTGAGTGGCAGTATATACTACAGTAGTTACTAACCACACATGGTTATTCAAATTCAAATTTAAATTTAATTTTTAAAAATCATTTTTTTTGGTTATACTAGCCACATTTCATATGTTTATTAACCATATATGGCTATTAGAAAGTCTATTGGGAAATGTTGGATCAGAGGAACCCACAATATTGTAGCAGCTCCAAGAGACTGAGTTAAAATAACATTTTTGCAGCAGCAGGATACGAGGTAGGAAGACTGGGAAAATTCTAATAGGCAACCCAGATATCTATCAACTAGGTAAAACCCAAAAATATCAAGTTTCTAAATTAGAAAGAGAATTAATAAAAGGAATGGACTGTGGCAGCACTGGGCACATGGTGTCTCAGTCAGAGAGGGAAGCTCCCCTCCAACAAGCCAAAGAAATTCTCCAGCCCAGTTTGATAAACAGGTGCTACTGTCCCAATAAATTTGTAATCTTAGCAGAAAATAAGATCAGATAGCATGAGCTGAGGGTGTTCAGGAGAAAGTCCCAGCACTCTTTAGGGAGATAATGAAAGTGGGGAAGTGACAACTTAAAAAGATTCTTCATTTGGACTTACTGAGAAGAAACTAGAAATCCCTTCAGTGCCTTCAGTACCTTTGCTTTTCCTATTTCTCTCTTTTTAAAATTCTTTATTTTCTTCTTATTGGTATACTTGCCTTTTTATGTTTTCCTCCCACAATTTTATTTGGTGCATTGTAGTTGTATGTAATGGTGGAATTTGTTGTTACATATTCATATATGCACACAATATAACAATATAATTTGGCAATATCATTCTCAAGCACTTCCTCTTCTGTCTCCCCACATCACATTTCTTGGTCAATTTCCTCTACTACATAATTTTTCCCTTTCATTTTCATTAGTTCCAACCCACCTTTCTTTTCCTTTTACCTCTCTAGCACCCACATATAAGAGAAAATATACAATGCTTGACCTTCTGAGTTGAACTTATTTTACTTAACAATGTATATAGCTTCATCCATTTTTATGCAAATGACATAATTTTTCTATATGGCTGAATAAAATTCCATTATATGGATACACACTACATTTTCTTTATCCATTCATCTGTTGATGGATACCTTGGATGGTTTAATAGTTTGCCTATTGTGAATTGTGCTGCTATAAACATGGATATGCACTGTAGTATGATGACCTTAATTCTTTAAGATAAATAACAAGGAGTGGGGCTGGAGTTGTAGCTCAGTGGTAGAATACTTGCCTAGCATGTGTGAGACACTGGGTTCCATTCTAAGCACTACATATAAATAAACAAACAAACAAACAAACAAATAAATAAATAAATAAAAGTTTATTGACAACTAAAAAACATATCAAAAAAATACCAAGGTATAATACAGCTGGGTCATGAGATGATTCCATGCCTAATCTTTTGAGGAAACTCCATACTGATTTTTATAATCGTTGTACTAATTCATAGTCCCACCAAGAGTGTTAAAGAACTACAGGAGGTTCCTTTACATCCTTTCTAGCATTTATTATTATTTATATTATTTTTTTCATACTTTTAATGGGTATATTATAGTTATACATATTGGTTGGACTTTTTTCTTACATATTTATACATACACACAATAATTTGGCTACTATTACTCCCTGACATTTTCCTACTTCCATGCTGACCTCTCATCTTTTGATCCTTTCCTCTACTGGTCTCTCTTTGATTTCTAGGAGATCAACTCCCACCTTTGTTTTTGTTTTTCCTCTCTAATTTCTGCTTATGAGAGAAAACATATGATCTTTAACCTTCTAAGTTTCACTTATTTTACTTAACATGATGGTCTCTAGTTCTGTACATTTTCCTGCAAATGATATAATTTTAATTTTATTTATGGCTGAATAAAAGTCCGTTTTGAACATATACCACATTTTCTATATCTATTTATCTGTTGATGGAACCCTGGACTGGTTCCATAGTTTGGCTATTGTGAATTGAGCTGCTGTAAACATGAGTGTGTGAATGTATTACTATAGTAAGATGACATTAATTCTTCAGGATAAATACTGAGTAGTGGTGTAGCTAGGTAATATTGTGGTTTCATGCCTGCTATTTTGAGGAGCCTGTGTACTGATTTTCATAGCAGTTGTATCAACTTACAGTCCTACCAACAGTGTAAAAGTGTTTCCTTTTCTTCATGTCCTCTTCAGTCTTTATTATTTGTATTCTTTTGAAGGCCTTTTCTTCATATATTGAGATGATAAATGATTTTTATCCTTAATTCTGTTTATGTGATGAATTACATTGATGTATATCAAACCATACTTGCATCTTTGGTATACATGCTTTTTGAATTCCCAAAACAAAACAGCCACTTAGGCTTTACTTTCCTCTGGATCCGTGGATGTTCAGGCCATGAGTCAGTCTGAGTACAGAAATGTGAGATTCTAACACAGAGTTGGGAGAAGGTATGGGGAGTGGGAGCCACAGCTCTGGTCTACAAAAGTCTGTAGAGCAGAGAAGAACAAAGGATGCTTTCATTTGAAATTAGCTGTCCAAACTCTGGGATCAGGAAAGTAGCTGAAAGAATGTAAAATTGGGTTGGATCAGGGCTGAGTGGGAGTCCTTGTCACACTTACACTCCCACCCTTGTCATAATAACAAAGTTATTTTGAGGCTGTAATCACCTCTGAAACAGACAGTGTTATTTCAATAGATGCTGCCAAGTAAAGAGGAGGTGTAGCTCAGCATGCATATCACCCTAACAAGATTAGACAGACAAACAAACAATGTGATATTTGTGTCACACAAACTTCCTCATGGTTGGGAGATTCTGAAATTGAAATCTCAGAAGGAAATGTCTCTATTCTAAAAAACTCAGCAAGAAGAAACTGAATCTCTTTATTACTATTGTTGCATTAACTGCTCAATGTAAACTGATTTCTAGTAACTTTCACATATTATTTTTCCCCCAGTGTGCAAATTTTATATACTCTGTAAATTTGGTCCTCTTTTATACTTCTTTTCTTCTGTCTCATCTCCATTCTCAATCCCTTTCTTTCCATTTTTCCTCTCATTTTGTCTGCTTTCCTTTCCATGTCCCTTTTATTTCTTGTGTTTTTCTTTTTTCCCTATTCTCTTTAAAAATATTTCTTATACTAGTTCAATTTACTGTACTATCATTAATGCTTAATCTTTATAGTCTATTCTACTTATTTTTCATCCACTTTTCTCTTTGATTAATAGAGCTGCAGAGATCAATTAGTAATAACTTTTATACCCTATGTTGATATGGTTTACTCTTAAATTACCTCTATTACTGAGGATTACTCTACCTTTTAAAGTCATACTAGAGATTGAATTTAACACTTTTATTTTGGTGATCATATATGTTGAAGCTAAGTTATACCCACAGCCCAGGGATTATTTTAAATAGATAACTACCCACTAAGGGACCTCCCACATAAAAAAGAGGAATGTATATCAACAGATGTACTAATAAAGGAGGACCTTAGAACCTATAAGGAAACAGTAAGTAGAATACCTCCAAAAGTCAGTAAGCTCCTAGTAATTGAATCCACAGACACTGAAGTGGTAAAATTCCAAAGAATTTTTAAAAGTTGATTGTTAAAATGATTAATGAAATTAAAAGAAGATCTAAGGAATGAATTAAGGGAGAAAAATACCGAATGTGAAAGAGCATTTCAGTAGAGAGACTCTAAAAAGAAGTGGAGTAAAAATCTTGGAATTGAAAAAGACTCAATAAAAAGTTTAGTTGAGAGTCTCACAAATGTATTAGAACAAGTAGAACACAGATCCTGAGAACTTTGACAAGGAAGCTCACCTAAAATATTTAAAAGGTATTAAAGAAAAAAACCTATGATCTGAATTTATAAGAACTATGGGATAATTTAGAAAATAAACTTAAAAATCACAAGCATTGTGGAAGGAATAGGAATACAGGCTAATTGCATTGATAATGTTACAGTGAAATATTAGCAGAAAAATTTCCAAACCTAGGGAATGAAAGGGACATCAAGATACAGGATGAATTCAGAACATCAAATATACAACATCAAAAAGAGCCTCTCTATAACACATTATGATTAAAATGCCAAATTATAGAATAAAGACAGAATTTGAAAATCCTCAAAAAATGTCAGGACACATTTAAAGGTGAACCAATCAAGCCAACCTATGAATTTTTAAGAGAAACCCTAAGATTCACGAGGGTTTAGAACAATATATTTCAAAACTTGAAAGAACATAACTGCCAGCCTAGTTTGTTCTATCCAGCAAAGCTATCCTTAGAATCAAAGAATAAAAACCTTCCAAGAGGAATTCATGACTACCAAGCCATAATTGCAGAAGTTCCTAAAAGAAATCTTACAAACAGAAGGCGGAAAAGATAAAAATGGCCAAGAGAACATAGGAAAGAATTTTTTTCATTAAAAGAGTAGATAAGCAAATGAGAATTAGTATTGAAACAAAATGAGAAGTAAATAAAATTCAAATATAATATCTCTAAGAACATTGAATGTATATAGCCTGAACTTTCCAATTAAAAGACTAGCAAATTAGATTAAAAACCATGACCCAACCATTTGTAGTCTGAAGAGACACAACTCTTGGTCAAAGATATCAATGACTAAAAATGAAAGGATAGAAAG